AGAGGCCCAATTCCAAGGTGTTAAATTACAAAGTCATATTTCAAATATTTATATAGAGAGCTAAAAACCGAAGGTAACATAAACACTGGACTGTGCTATAAAGTGGCACTTTGTGCCTGGATAGTACATTATACTGCCCAACACAAACTAGGGCATAATATAGAATATAAGTCAATGGAAACATTCATTAATTGGTTTTAATTTTTATTATAAATCAAGGTATTTGCATTTAGCCTCATACCACCTCCTTAAAAACACCACAGTCCATAACAACTAGAGTTCAGCTCTTCCTTGTTTTAGCTTAGAAAATATCCAGCAGTTTTGTGACGTTCTCAGGAAGAGAATATTAGTACAATAAACGCCATGAAATAATAAAACACCTATGATCTGATTGTCCACTTCATAATTTATGCACTACAAATGTTAGTTTATGATAAAGTTCAAAGGGTGCAAATATTTTTGCTGAGGTGAGAATATACAAACTAAAACCTACTGTATCTCTCATTATTAGGTAGTTGTTGTTTTTTTATATATAAACTAATTTTCTGAGGCAGAATCCCAATGAAATTCTGTGTTCCAACACTGTAATTAATGATCAACATAATCGAATTGACTTTAATGTGTTTCAGCTGTTAACTGTAATTTTGTTAAGCTCTAACATTTCGGCTTACTTATTACATTACTGCTACTTGGCACACGCCGACCAACAACTTCTGCTCCGTGTTTTGTTAGCAGGACGCTAACTGGAATAAGGTGGTGTTTATCTGCCTCGGGACGAGGGGACCCATAAGTGGCCATTTCTAATAACGGCGAGACCATCAGGTTGCAGCGACACGGTCATGTTACCGGGGAAATCTCCTGCCAAACAGAGCAAAAACACTGAATAACGCCCTTTGTGAGAGGACCGGTTTTCTGCGGACTATTTATTGTAATTGGCAATATTTATTCCCATGTGAACTCATTTTAAAATTGTGCTGATTATTCCCAGTAGCTTCATAATATTCATGTTTTTCCTCTCCTCTGTCTATTCTGAAAAAAAAATGAATGAAAGTTTCTTGTGTTTGTTTTTATTTAATCAGGATTGCTGAGGTCATAAAAAGCTAAATAACAGCATTTTCAGATTTTTAGCCAAGATATGAGTTCTGGGATCGGGTAGAAAACAATAATTGCGTTCACAGCGTTCAGGTTTCTGAGGTTATTTTTGCTCCGGTGCTTTTAGATAAGGAACAGCTTTGAATAAAAGAAAACAAAACAAACAACAACAACAACAAAAACAACCCCACAATAATTGCGAGAGTCAATTTTTATGGAGCCAACAGCTGGCACAACATTCCATACGCATGAAATAAATCACAATATCCTCTATTAAATCTTTATAACAATAAAAAAGGTTAGAAAAGAACATTTTCACCATAAGAAACAGCTGCAAATATACATCTGGACGGCTGATGGATGTGAAAACCTCTAGATCGGATTTGCCGTTCTCACCGCTGAAGCCGTGAGCAGCTGGTAAAAGTCAGCGGTGGTAAAACTGTCTACTTGGTGGCTTGATTTGAACCGCAGTGTTGCTTCCTGTTCTGCCCAGGTTTTTATGAACTCAAGAGCCTGTCGCCACAGATCTCCGTGTTGTTTGCACTGTTTGACCTTTCTGCGCCTTTTTTCCGTTTCCCCCGGTTACACAGTCACAACGGCCACGACGAGTCAAGTGCAGCGAGGATAAGAAGCGTCGGTTTGCGGGTTGGCCGCTTTGCTTCATTATGCCGACAACTGCAGAACACAAAGTGCTCCAGTTTCTTTAATTGTTTTCACCTTTCCGAGCATCACCGCCGGCCCGGCTGTGGCTTTCCAATATCGTCCAATTTGTGTGTGTGTGTGTGCGACAGTGAACGAGTTTAACAATGCCTCATCTGCACTTCTACATCTTGTGTCAAGAGTTCGTGGCTGGAAATTTTTATGAGGCTCCCAGCTTCCAATTAAAGCTGTCCTTTGCCAAGTGCCAGGCCGTCATGAAAGAAAACGAGGTGATTATTTGTAATTTATTGACCTGAAGAGGACATTGTGTGAACAAAAGCGAATGCTACATTCTTGGGCAAAAAAGTGACAAAAAACCCCCCAAAACAACCTTTTGTATGACGGCAAAAACTGCGGCGCTACTCCAGGTTGGAGCTCATGACATTTTCAGTGCAATGAGACACTTAAGCTTAGCAACGAGGGATGTACTGACCAAATTATTTTTTGTCCCTCTTCCATATTTGAATTATTTAAGAGGGATTCAGCCTTTGTTTCTTATTTTAGTTCAGTACCATGCAGCTACATTTGTTAGCCGCTCTTGAAGTAGCCCTGCTACAGCCATTGGATAAATGAGTTACAAGTTCATTCAATTTTCCTTTGAGATTAGTTATTTGATATTTGAAATGTAATTGAATTGAATATGCTTAAATATTTGATGCTTTAACTCGTAGTGAATTAAGTGCAATCAATAACCTGTGGTATATAGTAGCATTAGGATTTTCCATTTCATTTTATTACGTTGTACAGAAAGCTGTCTCAGTTTTTCTTTTATTTTCACAGGAGTTGAACATGCAGTTAAACCTAAAATTTATTCAATTTCTTTTTATGTGTTTTTTTTTCTTGTCTGATTGGAAATGAGACGGGTATCTCTCAAAAGACAATGCGTACTAACAAAAACTTTATATTTTTCCTGTCACCAAATAGTAAAAGTTATGTACTTTAAACCTTTGTAACAATGCAACAATCCAACCCTTGTTGTAATTTCATGACTTTTTTTTTCTACACACGGATATGAGACGTTTGTTTTCCGTCCATGATTTTCTCCTCCTCTTTGTTTTGCTTGAGCGAATCTTAATACTCAGCTGTACATTTCACTGCTGCACTGATTGCTGCTCACATCTTCCTCCGCCGTGTTCATTCATCATGTGCGCGTCTTGCCCTGACCCCCGTCAAATTAGGAACTCTCTCGTTGGAATCACGCCAGGGTAAATATTGTTGTCTGCTGTTAGTGATTAAGTACAATTGTTCCTAAGCTATTAGATTTGGGAAAATGACTCAGTTTTATAATGGAAACATAAGCAAAGGCCACAGGAAGTTCTGAAAGCCTTCCCTTTAATGGCGAGCAGGTGATCTTGTAATGGGTCTTGACTTTGGGCTGATGCGTGTGTCATAGCCTGAGTGAATCGTCTGACCGAGCGTTGTAATTCCTCTTCTCATGCAGCCGAGCGGCTCCTCCGCTGCCCTTGGTGCCGAGTGCCAGAACATTCCCCATTGACTTTGATTCCTGAGGAGTAGCAAAGGAGCAATTGTGGATGTCCTCAGCAGGGAGGGTCGGGACGGACAGAATACAGATCAGGGAGGCTCTCCTCGGCATTTGTCCTTGAAAATGGCTGAAGCGACTTGTGTCAAAAAAGTTTAGTCTGTAGGAATAGTAGACCTGATTCTGGATGGCAGGTCTTTTAAGCTTCCCTTATAACTCATAATGTCCTTTTAGTGGTTGCCACTTGCTGGTTGCTATTTGGCAGGTGTACTTGAATACAATCAGAATTTGTCTTTGTATCGGTCAGCTCATTAACGGGGTTATGAGACGGAGAGGAATGAAAAACAACCCAGAACGTTTGCATTCCTCAGAGATATACCAAGACTAATTTGTTGCCAGTTTCCAGTCTTTGTCGTTGGGAAAATTTTGACCTGTCAGGATCAATTTTAGCTAATTCCGATTTGATTTGAAGAACTAAAATGACTATATGAAAACGACATTCATTTCTTTTTGTCTAGTTTCTCTGCTGTAAGAAGCCATTAATAATTTATAGACATCGTGTCGCTGTGGTACAATGGAAAAAGTCATTTCAGAAGTATGCATCTGGAATTCGCCTCATTAGCACTGCTAGCATTGCAAAGAAAATGTTCTCCATAGATATTTCAATGGAATGAAGGCAATTTAAAAAAGTTTAACACTAATTTGGCTCTAGTGGCTTTATTGAAAAGAATGTGACATGAAAGAAGGTAGAGAGAAAGAAGACGTGTCCAAAACGGGACAAGAGTGGGAAATGTTGAGGACTGCAGCCTCTGCTAGCTCCCATGCTAGCTCTTCCAACTGAGCCAATGTCCTGCAGATCTCTGTTACTTTTGATCTTCTTTTTATTCATTTGCCAAGGGACATTTTGTGTTATTGTTTTGGTTGTTGTTTTTTAGGCTACAAGATTAGATGCAGATTAATATGCATTGCATTTGTATCTTGAAGTCAAATGTTCAGATCTTAATCTTTTGGGGGAAAATGACATAAGAATTTCACATATGAAAATTAGGAGGTTCTCTCCAACTTCAACCTCTGAGTCCAATATGGCTGCCAACAATTTAACACTTGATATACGTAGAAATAACATTCACTTCTAATCATGTGTATCTCATAAAATTTTTGACACAATATGCCACACAGCTATTTTGCTATATAATGTTGCAACAATTTGTTTTACCAGTATGGTGTGTTTAGTGCTCAGAAAAAAAGTGAATTTTTCAGCTTCCGACCTCTTTCTGTGTGTGTGTCTTTGCCTGTCTTGAGAATCAAAATTGTTTTCTGATAATCAATCTGCTTTTTTAGAAATATGTGCTTTGCATTGCCAGCGTTCCCCTGATTGGCACTTGTTTTAACCTTTTTTATGCCGGTGTCCTTGAAACAGGCTCATAGGAAATGTTCATTGTGTAGTCACACAGCGTTGCTGTTCTTGTCTGAAGTTATCTGTTGGCTGGATGCTTTATCTTAGCAATTTGTGAAGCAAGATATTATTATGTTTATCACACAGCGTCTTTGAAGGAAGCGGAGTCTGAAGTTGCTTCAGTATGATCCCATATTTGTCAAATATTGTGCTATCAGTCCTCTCTGCCTGTGTGGAATTGAATATTGATGGCGTTTTAAAAGTTTGAAAGTCACACTTTAGAAGGAACTTATGTAAATTCCTCCCCGCTTAGCCGTTCTGTTTCTTTCGCAGGCCTCTACCAGCTCTCTCCAACTGTGAACATGCCTCAAGACGACACGGTGATGATTGAGGACGATCGGCCGCCCCTGCTTCCTCCCCACCTGTCTGACCGGTCGTCCTCCAGTTCCCACGACGACATGGGCATTGTGGGAGAAAACCCGGTTGCCTGGATACGTGAGATGCCAGGTCATAATGAATGGTAGGTTGCAAGTTGTTCTTTAGAACTGGCTGAATTTTTCATGTATCTTTGAACTCTAGGTAACCCTTGGTGGAGAGAAGCAGGATGGTGGGTGTTTAAAATTTTTAGTATGGAGGCCTGAGTTCTCACCGCGGCCGTCGCATGTTCGATTCCCGGCCTGGCGACCTTTGCCACATGTCTTCCCTCTTTTCTCATTTCCCACTTTCCTGTCAATTCACGATCAAATAAACACCCAAAGAACAAACCTTAAAAAAATAAATTATGGTAGAGCATGATGCTAAGGACAACCCAATTAAACAAGATAACCATTTCACCACAGGAGTGGTGTCCAAACTTTTTGCGCTGATTGTTAAAATTGGCAAATTTAAATTACTGGCCGGCCATAAAGCTCATTAAATTAAAAATGCTAAAAACTTGTTTTGGTTTATCTTGTTTTGTTGGCCAAAACTTACTATTCCAGACCTGTGTTCAGAGTCTGAACAGAATCACTCTATGGGCCACACATGGGCCCAGGGCCACACTTTGGACACCCCTGCATGATATTGCATATATACCATAAAATTGAAAAGTATAGTATCATGTAAACTATGGCATTACCTTTTATACTAAGTAGTTTAAAAATGGAGTGCATGTGAGTTTTTAGCCAGTAGAAATATAAACCAAAGGACTTGCAACTATAATTACAGTAAAAAGATGGTTTTATATAAGTATTGACTGAAGGGGGGCTGATACACATGCATAACTCCCATTTTAAAATGGTACATTTCATCTGTCACATAAAATCTAAGCTAAATAATTTGAAGTCAGTCATTGTAACATGTCAAAATGTGAACAGTGTTACACTGACTCTGCGTTGTACAGTGTAATTTATGGTCTGAATTGGAGCAGGTCAACCAAACGACTCCATAGTGACCAAAAGAAAGAGAGACGGGATTGTGATTTTATGCTGCATGAAGGTTATATCTGAGCACAAATGTCTACGCGGCTTTTAGTAAAACTTTTGTAACAGTGTGTTGGTGTGTGTGCTGTGTAAGGGCGTTTGATAAATAATTGATTAGCAGTAGAAGTCAAACTGTGAGTGAAAAGACTCTCTGGGGCTCAAAGTTCCTCCACCTCCTCAACTCCAACCACCCCTGGGATTTTAGTGCCCGACTCGGCGTGCGGACCACAGGCCCGGCTGCAGCACCCTCGTAATAAAATGAAGCCAAGGCTCATCAACCTTGTCAGAACACAAAGTCTCTGTTGGGAATGGACCGTTTAAGCTGAGGAACCCTTTTTGCACCAGGCTTGTTAAAAAAAAAAGGCAGACATTTTAGCAGTTTCAGCTAAGATAGCACAGGCATTCACCTCAATGATTTAATATATATTTTTTGTTGTTTTAAAAGGTGTGTATCTGTTTATTTGGGAGGGAGTTTGCGTGACAATCTTAGGCTTTACACCAAAGATAGACTTGCTGAGTCAAATTTTTTTTTCTTCCCACAATTCAAAGTTTTCCTCTCCCTAAAGTCTCCCCCATCTCTCCCTCTGTTCTTCTCTTCCTCTGACTCATTTATTATGGATGAGTGGATTTGCTCAGCATGCCTGCTGTTCATGATGTCAGAGGTTTGTCATAGCGGATTAGGTCTACAGCATATGTCTGAAATGCACTCAGACTTCCTCATGCCCCGGCTACAGACACACTCACTCGCGCACGCCGGCCCACGCTGCCCACACACAACCGCGGTGTGTCCACACGCACAGGGCTGGAGTTTTACCGCGTACCGGAGCCTGGGGTTATTCTGAATAATTCATGTTTTAAAGTCACAGACACACATCAGGCACACATTGGCTTTTACTCACCAGCTAACAGCTGGCTATAAACAGTAAGAGTGCATCGTCTTTCTTACTTACTTGCACCGTTTCTCATTTTTCTTCCAACATCCCATTGGAGAAGAAAAAAAAAAAAAACATCCAGGGAGGAGGGGAGCTGTGTGGGTCAGCCAGAGTCCAGTGTACTGGAACTGTTGCTTTTTAATTAAGCTCTTGCTACAGTTGAAGTCAAGGGCCTGGGTAGATTGAATATGTATTGTGCAGAGCTGGGAGAGACTCACCTTTGCCCTCTATTATTATCCAGCCTTCTGTCCTCAGGGGAGTACCTGGCCAAGGCCACAACTATGAACATGCTCTGCATACGCAAGAGTGGCTGGACGGCTTGTTAAATCAGTGTGTTTTCAGGCTCTCCCTCTTGTCCTCCTTACTGTCGCTACAATTGGACAAATTAGTATTTCCCATCTCCTACCTCTAATTCCTTTTGTTCCAGCAGGTTCCAGATATAACGCGTTGGAAAACGTAGACACACCCAATGAGGTTCAGACAAGCACAAACCTGAATGTACTTGATTGGGATTTCATGGTAGACCGACTCGAAGCAGTGCCTGATTGTAAAGTCGAGGAGGAATGACGCATGATTTCGCAGTCTATTATGAAAAGACTGCGTATACATTTGTATTCAGCCATCCTTATGTGTAAAAAAAATATACAGTTCAGGTACAGTAGAGTCCTGTAAGTACTTAAGAACCTCCATAGCAACATTAAAGCTGCCTATTTTAATACATCAAATATACCTTAACATCCATTAATGCGCACTGTCGTAGCACTACCGCAGAATCTAACAATTGGTCTTCTTTATCTCCATTCTTGATGGTTACAGCCAATCAGATAAATGACTCTCCTGTATTGGTTGTTTTCCATATGCCAGTCAACAGCATCTCAAGAAGCATTGCTCCCAGCTATTTCCGCCTCCCAATGTAGATTTTCATTGACATGTATATATTCTCAAATATATTAGTTAGTTTATCACATAATCAAATGCGTGGATGTTTTTTCCTTGTAATGTAAAATCACGGAAGATCTCTGGCACCGCTTTATACTTTTGTCGTGTTTTGAGATTTGCAGGGAAATGAACTATATTTTCTCAATGTCCTTCGCTAATCTCATATAGTCTATCCTATAAAGCCCTGCTGAATGAGTCAGTTTTATAGGAAATGAATAAAGTAAGAATGCAACGTTTTGCCAGTCCTTTTTGTGTGATAAATATTAGGAGCAGTGTGTTTCCCTTCAAACTAGCTTTAAAAGTCAAAAGAGTCTCGATGCTTTCGTCTAAAAGTCTGAGCTTGGTTGCTGCATGGGTGTTGAGGAGTTTGTGAAACTGATGCAGAGAATGATGGTGATGGAATCCAGCCTGTGCTATCTCCTGGGTTTCACTGGATAAATAAAGGCTTTAAATTATTACTTTGCATATCAGCACTAAAGGTTGCTCAACACCGGGTCCCGACCCTCTACATTAATTTCCTCGGCTGTGTCTCCCTCCTCCTCATCCTCCTTCATGAGCTTTAATGGAAAGCCAAACAGGAAGAACCATGTCGAAGTGATACTAAGCAAGACATACACGACACACCACCAGATATAGTGTCCAAATAACGGGAATAAACAAAGAGATAAAAGGATTTGCTAATAGGAACTGGACGACTTTTCTTATTTATGGGAGATTTAGTCGAGTAAAACAGGAAAAATAGGGATGATTCTTTTCTCTGCCTGGTTTCTGTCTGAGGAGCTGATGGAGCGCAGTTGTGCTTTCATAAGGGCGTGTGTGTTTTCTCGCTGCACTCAGACCCGTGCTGTCTGAATGTCCTAAATCCTAAATCAAGATCTAGGAAAAACATTTGAGTCGAGGGTTCTCGACGGGTCTGTCCTGTCAGGTGTGCAGCGAACCGCATTGAATCTACGGCCTGAAGTGTTATTTTCGCCGTCTTGGCCTTTTTACTGAAACGCTACCAACTTTGTCTTTAAGGAGCAATAAAATAAAAAGACTTTTCAGCTTTTCTGTGACAAAACATGCGCAAGTGTCTGCTTAGGAGAAGTTTTAGAGACAAAAGGAGCGCTGCAGCATCCTGCCTTTGATTGAGGGAGGAATGAAAGTGTCTCTCTTCTCAGAAATTCATCCTCTCCCTTTCGTCTATGAACTCACAGTGATTTTTGTTCTTTTCTTAAGCTTCTCCCAGTTTTGATGCCGAACACAAAAGACTTTGTGCCAAAAGCAGAGTTCTGATAAATCATTAACTTTTAAAGACTGTATTATAATCTAGAACTCAAGGACTTATGTTTGTGTTTTTGGTTATTATTTTTGTGGCACACATACTGTAAGCTTTGGAGGTGTAAAAGATAATCATAATTGTAATATAATGCTCCTAAAACAGGCTTTCCCGACTATATACAGTTATTGGTTCTGCTGTTTCTTTTAGTTTTATCTATTAAATTGTATGAATGCTTGAGTTTTGTTTGATTTTATAGGACTATGAATGGAAATTAGCATTTTGCTAAACTTGGTATATTTACACCAACATTGTACCTTCAATAAAAGGCTAACTTACAAATATCTTTTTTAGCAAGGCACTGGGAGTTGTTTTAAATCAATAGTTTATTTATGTTGATTTTTAAAAAGCGGTATCTCCATAGGCATATTATTTCACTTATACAAGGAAGAAGATGGATCATTATGGAAATAATCTGCCGGCGGAACTATTACTTTTCACTAAATGTTAAGGAATTACTGACTTAAAAAAAAAAGTGTTGTTAAAATATTAGTTGAGAGTTAATTTAGTCTTATTTCAAAATATTTACACAAAAAAGAGACAAAAAATACTCTAAGGTCTTGACCGGCTTTCACTGTGCAGGCAGTGAAAGCCTGTCTTGTTTCATTATTTGTGTGTACTGATTTATATATATTGTGAAATGAATTCAGGCTTCGGACCTTACGGAAATCTGAATATAAGCAAAAAAAAAAAAAAAAATGGCAAGAGATTATCATGAAATCCTTAGAAAAATAATCCAGAACAATAGAAACCAAGTGGGAGCTCTGCAGCAGCGGTTAGTGCGATCTGGACCTTTCTGCTGGACGCAGCAGACGCGGGTGTCAGCTCCTATTAAGTTAAGAGAGCGGCGAATCGGACAACCAGGGAGACG